TATGCAGGACGTTTATATACAGAATTCATTTGATAACAGATTTATTTTTCTGTCTTCATAAAAAAGAGTAATGATCTGACACAGATCATTACTCAACAACATTGATTAATATGCTGAACTGTTTATTGGTGATAATGATTTTCCATTCCCATTTATTTCACTGCCAGTGCGTTACTGCTGATCAGCTGAGTAGTTTAGTGTGCACATGCTTAGCTTGGCACCTGATTGCGTCTCCGAGGTTGATTAAACGCTTTCTAACAAGGAAGTGATGTACAGTGAATTACAGTACAGCTTAGCACTCCATCATCAGTGAGGAGCTCCACTGATTAAAGCTACAATTACATCATCATCAGTGAATTTGAATTTGCTGACTTTTTTAGAGGGTTTAAACCACCTTTCATGGCCACATGGTTTAGATGGCTGTTTGACTGATTGATATATTGATTGTTTCCACTAGATGTATAACAATTCACACTGACTCCACCACACTTTACAAGTCCCCAGCTTGTTAAAATAAATTCCCCTTTCAGAGATAATAAAGGGGGAAGAAGCCACATGCGATTTCTTGTTACAGGCACCGAACAGGGTATTAAATGGTAAATGGTAAATGGCCTGTATTTATATAGCGCTTTACTAGTCCCTAAGGACTAGTAAAGTGTCCTTTACTAGTCCCTAAGAACTAGTAAAGGACCTTAGGGACCCTATAATGTCCTTTGTATCATATTTAATATGAGTTTCTGAGACCTCTATCTCATGAACATGATCAATACTTGCCATAATTTCAAAATCTTATGGACAAAACTCATTTTTTGTCTAAAATTAACATTGTTGTTAACAAAAAGTTGCCAAAACATCCAATGTATCAAATGCGATACAAAAAAATATATATAATAAACATATATCATGCACAACATTATGTAGGAAAAAAAAAGATTTGTGGATTTTGTTATAAGGGTTAATAAACATCTCAGTTCCAAAAAAATCAGAATTTTATGGATATTTTTTGATGGGTTGGGTCTGACTTAAAATCTTAAAAATCTCTTCGTCTAGAAGTATATAGGCACGTGCACGACTAGCCGACTAATCATTGCTATTGTAACGAGTGGGCACCAGAGGTACTATTCGTTTAATCTAATTGCTTTCATTTTAATGGATGCCCAATGGCAGCAACTTGTTGTGTCCCAAATGTTAGGCAGCCATGTTTGGTTGGGCATGTCCTACCAGGAGGAGGCCAGATTTCTCCAAGACATGCTGGAGAAATCTGTCGGCTGGCCTGGGAATGCCTTGATGTTTCTCTGGATAAGCTGGAGGAGCTGGTTGGTGACAGCGAGGTCTCGGCTTCCCTGCTTAGACTGTTGCCCCTACGGCCCAACTTCACAGAAGCAGAAGAAAATGGCGGGGTGGTTTATCGATTTATCATTTTAGATTTAAGGTTTTATTGAAGTGGTTGTCATGAACCATGTGCATCATTCAAGAGTCTGGGGATCTGAGGAAAAGTTGTGTTTTTTAGTTATAGTAAGAGTATGTAATAGTTTTCTTGTCATATTTTATTTTAAGTGTGGTCCTTTATGTTTGAAGTAGAATGTGCGAGTAGAGTGTGCAACAAAAGGTATAAAACACTCATACCATCTATCGATTACAGAACTTTAACCAAACCATTGTCAAGAGTAAGTATCCACAGCCTTTAATCAACTCTGTCTTCTGATCTTTGCAACATTATTTACTAAACTGGGTTTTAAAAAATTAATTATTTGGTTAGAATCCAAGATGGAGATGAATGGAAAATTGTTTTAAAACTCCACTGGGACATTTCAAACACCTCGTATGCTGTTTGGGTTAACCGATCCCTACGGTGTCTCAGACCCTCAGAAAAGATGTCCTAAGAGACTTCTTTAGCATCTTCATCTTTGTGTTTAGATTGGGATTTTCCTCTACTTTTTTCTAAATCCTGTTTGAGGGTGACAGGTGAAGCCTGGCCCCACCTCAGGTCCAGCTGGACCACAGACTACAATTTCTCTCCTACCTGCAGACTGCTAAAAGTTTGAACTCCAATCTTACACAATGGTTCTTGTTTTTAGAAGATTCAATTTGTCCACCATGTACCGCTTGTACCGGTGATGGAAGACTTTTACCTTCCAGCATCTCGAGGCAACTTTTGTTGTATTTGGAACTTTTTTTTTAAGAACTGAAATTACCACCATGGCATTCCTTCCCAGCTTCCACTGGGACCACATCACTAGGTTTGCCTGCTACCTTTGGGTAAGTAGAACTACTTCTTTCCTGAAACAACATTTTTGGTGTTCTTTATTAGTGTTAAAGAGTACGTTCCTGCCTCCCCACATGTCTCCTTCACCCACTAACAATTCCAAATAGGTCCTTGTCATACATCTTTTTGGATTTTATCACTGATTTTCTCCTCTCAGATGGAAAGACAGTTATATTAACCACTGTGTACAGGTTCTCTGAGGCAGCTCACTGTGTGGCCCTGAAGAAGCTCCCTCAGCCTCCAATTTCAATTCAATTTAATTAAATTTTATATAGCACCAAATCATAACAACAGTTGACTCAGGGCACTTTAAATTGTAAGATAAAGACTGTATTGTGGAGGTAAGCATGGACGACACAGAGCTCTTAATTCTCACTCCTTCTTTATTCCTCTCCAACATCAACTGAACACATCGCGCCACAAACACAGCAACACACACTTCCTCAACACTGGGTGTGAGTGGAGCCCTCTAGTGGTCCACCACAGTATAATAATACAAGAGCAAGTGCTTTGGATTCTACCGTCAGACAAATGGACAGATCGAAAGATGAAAGCAGGAAGTAGCAGCAGCCTGTGGTTGAATTATCCATAACAATCCATAACTTTGATGGCCATAGTTGTCTTGTGAATATGCCCATAACTCACTCAGTGCTAAAAGCAATCACTGTTTAAAGTTTCAACTGGTTCTCAGCCACCCCATTCCCATCCAATGAAGAGGAACTGGATGTGCTCCCAGTTCAGTCCCATCTGAAGCACAGCTGCTGCAACTGGAACCAAATGAAGGTCGCCCAGCTTTGAACTGCTGACTGCAGTCACTGCTTTAATTTTCATTGTTTGGAGTTCTCATAAAGCCAAAGCATCAAGCCATGACATTACGCTCTTTCAGGCTCTCCTGGCTCTGTTTTCATGAGAGAGCACGCAAAAGCTGGGTGCTCAGGATCCACATCCATTCACCACAGCCACAGTCATTTGGTTAGCCTGTTCCTCAAATGATGGAAAGGAGTCCAAACTGTATTGGTCTGAAGTGGATTCAAACAGCAACAACAATGATGAATTCTGGGTAATTTAAATGCATTCCAACAGCTAGCAGTTCAACCATCAGGCCACAGAGACACCTCCTGCTGCAGCATGTCCAGGATCACATTACTTTTCAATCACACCCAGTGCACTCCCTTTATATTCCTTCTTACCACTCAGATTAATGTCCTTGTCTGCTCAAAGCCTGAAGGCAGCTAAAGTCACACTGTGCAAGTATATGTGGCACATCTGTAATGCTGCAAAGCCACATAAATCTCATATTTTATTGCCCAAATACTTTACATTCCCTATAATTCTCCGGCTCTAGCTGGCCATCATAGGTCCTACAAAGTCCTCTGGGAGCTTGGTCAGCTGTGGAGGATTGTCCAATGCCAAGAGTGTAAAGAAAATGCAAAAGCAAATTAAAAAAAAGTTTTTGTATGTTTTAAACATGAGGTCTGAGCATGACAATGGTATTAGTCTTCTCAGCAAAATGAAACAAATGATTCTCTAAATATTATTTATTTATTTCAGTTCTGTTTAGTTTTGAGTGACCTTGTGATTTTTTTAAATTGCTTTTTAATTTTCTCCAAATAGGAATTTAAAATGACTCCTTAGAATTCAAATCTGCAGGATTATTAGGGGTCTGTGTGAAGCACATCCCTTATTAAATGTGCCATTTATGTGCCTTCTGAATGAGCGAACAAGGCAAAGCTCCACCCATGAAATGCAATCTCTTATCATAGTGCATCAAAGTCTGCACTTCCAAAATGTGCGACTGCAAAGACCCTAGAAACTAATAAAGACCTCAGGCTCTGATTTGTCTGATTAATACTGTGGAGTTACAGTAAAATGAGAACATGGTGTTTGTGTAACTCTTAACTTTGAAACTCACCGAATACACATTAAAACTCAAATATTTATTTTGTAAATATTTCTTTAAATATGTGAAAATTACTTGTTTGTTATAAAACATGTAAATTTATAATTGTTTCTTGAAAGTTGAGTCCATGTAATTCTTGTCTACTTTCTATTAAAGGCCACCTATTATACTCACAGTATATGCTTCTCCTTTTCTACAATACCGCCTGTTCATGCCTGTTCATAATGCAGCCTATAATTTTAGATTATAGGCTGTATTATTCCTACCTTACAAACTCATGGCAGGAAGAAATGCCTTCAGTTATGGTAATAAATCATATTCACGATACTGTTTATATTCCTTTGACTATAACATTGTTTCCTTCCTGTCCTAATCTAAACCATGGAACCACGAGCAGCAGTTTTAACCTACTATGGTACGTTTCATTCTTAGGAGTGTAGACAGTGTTAAGTATTTGCATAGTGAAACTGCATTCTTCCCAATACACAGCTCAGAGATCCAAGATGGCTCCTTAGGTCATGCCACTGCTGACTGGAAAGCATGATGATACACAGACACATATACTGTATACATAGACACATGCACAAACACACAAACACACACACACACACACACACACACACACAAACACACACACACACACACACACACACACACACACACACACACACACACACACGTCACTTACCACCAAGCGCCACTTAAAGAGACATCTGACCAGCGGCCTTATCATTTAGAGGTGTCAGAATGCACTTGGGGCCGTCTACAAAATGATGGCACTGCCTGTCTGGCGCATGGTAAGTGTATGTAGATGGTTGTGTATGTGAGCCAGTCTGTATATAAAAGCTTGCAGTGCATGCTATAGTATCAGTATTAGCAGAAGAAACATAACATGAGAACTGAGGTTCTGTGGGGTGTATTGGCCCTGCTGTGTCAGCAAACACTGGTTAGCAGCCACATACTGGGGAGGCCCTCATCTGCTAATGACCTGGCTCAGCTCAAGGTAAGAAACCATGTCACACCTGTAATCAACACACCATTTGTGAAAACATTACACTGTGAAGGGTCAGGTACTTTGATATTCAAACAGAGAGAGGGTCAAAGATGAGAAAATAGTTGCATGAATAACATATTTCCTGTTATTACAACATTTAAAAGTCATTCAAAGGCAGTTTCACTAGTATCAGTGTCTTCAATTATAGAATGCTTGTAGGAATGCTACAAGCATTTTATAATTGCACAAATGCATCCAGTCCAGTATAACTGATTTATGTTTTACTTGACAAAGTAAAGAGTTTTTTTCAAATATAGTTTAAATCAGATCACGTGTTGACATGCTTTTCTTTGGATTTGTGAGTATTGAGAGGGCATAACAAAATAAAATGTTGACTGTTGTGATGACACCAAGAGGACACAACAACAGATCAGGCGATTACAAACAAAGCAACACAATGTCGAAAAGTAGTTATCATTAGAGTGTGACCTCACATTGATCTGATCTCAAAGATATACCAGCTTTACTTTGTTCTCCTGATTTTCACTTGTAATTTTAACTTCATCAAAACCTTCATCTTCATTCTTCCTTCATCTTATAATTAGCTGAGGTGAACTAGAAATTAGAGCTCTCTGCTTCCAGAATAACAAGCTGTGGTTTAGCTGTGGCTGAAGTAGACAGTTATTAAGGAGTTTGCTGTGACTCTGACACAGCACTGACAACACATGAACAAAACCTTCACCTTTATTCCTGATATGCTGTTAATATTTGCATACCTATTAAATTAGACAATAAAAACATCCACCATTGTTTTGAAAGTATGCAGCCTTTGGTTCATAGTGTGAACGTCACAATATCTGTGCACTGATGATAACTGTGATATTTAAAATTTAAATATCGTGAATGATGGGTCCCTCTTGTTTGTTGTTGGCTGAGTGGGTGACTCCAGATGGGCTCTCAGACTCGGGACCCATCTGCTGACTCTAGTCCACGCTTTGCGGTGGAGATGGTGAGTCCCAACCCTGGGACCCCAGGTAGGGTGTAGTAGGGGATTTAGATGATCAGCTGATGAACTGGGTCTTTCCTGGCTACCTTGGTGGCCCCACACAACTCGTCACTGCTGTGTGTTTTTCAATTTGATCGGCACCTGAGGCATTGAGTGTGAGCATTGTTGACCAGCTGTCGGGTGCTCATGTCACAACTGTCAATCTTAAAAGCACTCTATTTTTCATACAGTCATACTCATCCTTTATATCACAAAAACTCACTTGCACCATAAGGTCTGTATTTAAAAGCTTGCAGTGTACACTATAGTATCAGTATTAGCAGAAGAAACATAACATAGGAACTGAGATTCTGTGAGGCGTAATAATCCAGTGTGAGAGTCAGCTGGGTTAACTGTTGCTTCCTGTTTACCTAGCTGAGGCAGCTTTTATTCCTCCTTTTCTGACAGACAGACCCCCACTGTCAATAAATTCCTCACACAAGTTTATAGCTAAACCAACCGATTTGAGATGCTGGAGGTCAGGGTTCAGCAACTTCATCTCATTCTAAAAGTCCACTATTGTCCTTTAAACAAGGGTTGACAAACAATTCTCATCACCTGGGACCTTTCTTTTGGCTCACGCTGGGATGGCCGGCCTCTTGTGGGGTTGGTTACCCATTGGTTCTCTGGGGCCCTTGTCCTTTGGCAGTGGGGGCTCCATGTGGAGCCTCCCTCTTCCTTCACGTGGTTGTCATCGAGATGTGTGGCCTCAGGTCTTCACTATTCTTGGGGGTCCGTGGACAGCCTGGGTCTCATGGTCTAATGGACCTGACTCTGGCTCCCAGGGGGGTGTTGTTGCAGCCTGTCACCCTCATTATGTATACACACCCACACCCACCCACACACACACACACACACACACACACACATACACATATACACACACACACACACACACACACACACACACACACACACACACACACTTGCACGTCCCACCTGATTTATTAGATGCTTTCTGATTTCTACAACAGTCTTTGCTGGAACGCTTTGAGGAGACATTGGATGAAGTGGTCCAGAAAGAAGACTTGGAAGCTTATTATGAAGACATGAACCAAGAGCCCAAAAGCAGCCAGGCCAGCCAAGGATGGGACCAAGAGGGGAACCAAGAACCTCTGATATCTGAAAAAGCCCAACCACTAACTGAGGGCAAGACTGTGAATCAGAGGAGCCGCCTCCAGGACCTGCTGATGGCCACCAGGAAACGCACCTCTGGCTGTTTTGGAGCCAGGATCGATCGAATAGGAAATGCCAGTGGCTTGGGATGCAATAGTGGAAGAGGTAGGACTGCAGTCGGAGAAGCAAAACACAAATTTGAATAAAATTTGTTAAATAAATACAGAGCATTAGAACATGTCAACCCTTAAAAATGTGCATGCAGTTGGATTTTGACTAAATGTGCATTCACATATTCTACAAGTTCTTAACTTGACAACGTGACAATTGTGTTGATGTGTTTTCTCACTTGTTATTCTTTCGGGCTGCTGCCTTTCGGGGTTGGCACAGCATTGAGCCTTCATCTGCCTCCATCACACCAACTTCCTCTGCACATGTCCAAACTATCTCAGCTTTGCCTTAAACATTGACCTTCTTCACACTATTCATTGTAAAAATGTTTTGGACAGTCCACTTTTGTTCATGCTATAAAGTACGCCAAGTAATAATTTGTAGAACACATTTATGTTGATTGACACTTAGTTTTATTTATTTTTTAAATGAAATATAAATACTTAAAGTTTAAGTATAAGTTGGAAATAAATGCATTTGAAGGATAATGATGGTACCAGGATTGCAACATGACCAGTTAAATAACAGTACTGTCTTCTTTTTGTGCTTGTGTCATTGTCCTCCTAGGATAGTCCAGCCTTTTCCCGGGGCGCATGACGAATTCTGCTGTTGGAACTGAAATTATATCAGAGAAATATAGAGTTTGGAAAAGTATGGTTTTGTATTAGTTGCATTTCAACTTTGTGTATCTATTTTGCATGTTTCTGTGTCAAACATGAGAAACTGGCTGTTTTTCAAGTAGGTAATTAATTCGATAAGTCCATTGTAGATGAGCAACATAAACACTTTAATGGAAAAGAGTTAAACAACTACTGTAACTGCATGTGGGGGTCTAACAAAAATAAACATATTTTTTACTTACATGAAGGATTCTCTCTATTTTATAGACAGAATAAAAAGTAGAATTTAAATAGTATTTGAGATTGCAGCGTGCACATTGAGGAGTGGAGTGACTGATGCTGCTATACGGCTCTCACAACAACAAAGTGGTAAAGTCACAACAACAAAGTGGTAAAGTATGTGAAACATTGTACTGCATATATGACACACTGCAGGAGGACAGTGGTTGTCCACACTGAGGTTTTTACAGTTTTTCTCAAATGCTAAAACACATGTCACAAACGTTACCACCAGGTCCCCCAATGTCCAAACACAACACCCTTCTCTAAAGCTACATAAACACAACCACACCTTCCCACTGCAAAACTCAAACTCCCACACCAAGAGAGCAGCTTGTGCTTTGTGGAACTTCTTTTGTTGAAGATGGGTTTTTTATTTCGCTTGGTTTTATTGGCAATCCTGACGGTTGTTTGGAGTCAGTGCTACTCCCACACAATTACATACTCACGGGAGTTTCTTCTGGATCTTCGGTGGACAGGCCCGTCTTTGGACTCTTTTCACCCTCCAGTGTTTTCCAGCTCTGGATTATCCAGTAACCACAGGGGCACTTTTGTTTTTAACAGAGTCATAGCAAGGAAGCGGGGTAAGAAGGGAGGCCTACGTCAGCGATTGCGGAAGCAAATACGGTACAACCGTATTCCTTTACCATCAATAATCCTGGCTGATGTGCAGTCTCTGAGGAGTAAATTAGATGAACTGCATTTGAATGTCGCACATTTACGTGACTACAGGGATGCATGTCTAATGGCATTCACAGAGACTTGGCTCAAGGATTCTGACCCTGATTGTTCTCTGGAACTAAATGGCTTCGGGTCTGGTAACTAATTTCGAGTTATTTCTCAGAATTTCGAGTTACTTAGGAAATATTTGTGCCGCGTCGAAATATTCGATATAGTAAAAAATTGAACTCGGATATCTTTTAGACTACTGGTCATTTGTGAGGTTATGGACCTTTTTTTTTTTGTTTTGAGTGGGCGGAAACGGGCTTTGCAGGTTAGTGGGCAGGCCTAGTATGTGACTGTGTTAAGTAATATATCATAACAATTTGTAGCACAGAGAAAAGTTAACGGCTAGATTCCTTATGAACAACTTAGCTGATTCTTCATTGTAGATGATTACTATCTACTGACAGCTGTTTAACCTCCTTTCAATTCCTAGTTTCGAACTCCTTGCACAGAGTTAAACTGGGGACTATCGGCCAGTCAATGCGATTATTGCTCTACGCGTGTGAATAGATTTGAGTACTTACAACATTAGAAAGATTTGTGACTAAATACAACGCAGCGTGTAAGATGTGGACTTATGCAATCCTGTGGCCAAATTGGAGAGCAGACCGGATGATGTCTTCAGTGCAGAATTAACTTTTGTATTGTGTTATTATGGCTGTATCGGAGCTAGGTATGTGTTTGTTTAACCAAAATTCTTGGTATTGAGTTTGATTAGCTTTTATGGCTAAGAAGCTAATAACATATGGAAAGAAGAGGTGAACTACATAAAGCTGGAATGGAAATAAAAGATGTAATGATATACAAAGAAATTATCAGTCCGGACTGTCTGAATATCATGTCAAAGATAAGATCATATTTATTGAAATTGAGTACGACACCAAGAGGATTGTGACCTTGGTGTGCTCATTAACTCAATCAAGACAACATGTGGTAGATTCAAATACTAATGGTAAAGCAATTGAACAGAGAGTCGTGTATCGTCTTCTGACTGGGTAAGTGTGGTTATGGATGGGTACTAGATCAAGTTGTGCTGATTCGTCTGTGCAGCTTCCATTCTGAGATAGAACTCACCTTTGCAATTAGTTTATCTGGAAAAGAAGTGAATGAGTTTTATTAGTGAGACATAGTATGATAATGGAGATCCTTTTTGGTTAGTTAGATTTACGTGCTTATTTGAAGATGTGAACAGTAATTAACCATTGCTTTAGAGCCAAGCTAGATCGGTTTCAGACATGGATAGCCGAAGACGAGGCCAGATCTTGGTTGACAAAAATGTATTTGTGGGCTATCTAAAGTGAACAACTATAAATAGATATTGCGAAATGTTTGTATTTAAGGGCGTCATAGAAAAAAAACTGTAATGTCACACTAAAACACTATTGACTGGTGTCCCTGTCGTGAAAGACGCTTCTGTTTCGGTGCCTCTGTATAAAATCCAACGTTAGGAACTAGAGCGGGCTCGAATAAAAAAAGTCATATTTTAGGGAACAAGCTGAGCTTCGTAAGTTTGTCGGTCGCATGTAATCACCCACCACTTAAAAATGAATGACAGAGGTCAGTAATTTGCACGCAGAGGGAAATTATCACTGTGAGAGACAAAGTGGAATAAAAAAAGATCCATGAATCCACCTGGCTAGGACACTGTAGTGACAATGGCAGAGAATTCCTACGTTCAATAATCACGGAGAAGATGGACTTAAATATTAGAAACCTTTCTTGAGTTTGCCGTACATAAGCTAAGAAAGTACAGCACTACAATAGACTTATCGTAACAGACAGACAACACATATTCCTAATGTTCGAAATATCTAAAGAACAAAGGTACAACCTGAAGAACAGTCTATAAAATCCTCAAGGCACCATCTAGTCTTATACCTGACGATATAATAGAGCGCGCTTACACGACAGTAGCCTGAGGATTCCATTTCTCCGGCTTTTGCGACTCTAGTGAACAACATTCCTCCATGCAGATCTTCTCGAGAGCAGTGATGTTTTGGGGCTGTCGCCGAGCAACACGGACTTTCAACTCCCGCCACAGATTTTCTATGGGGTTGAGTTCTGGAGACTGGCTAGGCCACTCCAGGACTTTCAAATGCTTCTTACGGAGCCACTCCTTTGTGGATCGAAGCACGCACCCCACAGCAATCCACCTCTGAAATGGTTTGCGGTGAGGTAATAAAGTTTAGAGAGACTTAGTGATACACTTTGGAATAGGCCTATGGATCAAAGTCTGCCCTGAATAGCGACTCGAGATGGCTCGTTTCGGATTTCTATTATCTATTATACGTTATACCGACCAGTCATCTGACTATGCGAGAGAACGCCTCTTCAGGGCTTGCTAAAATTCATAACAACTGTATTGAGCAAAGACGAAGTGGTGCCCCATTCATCATCTGAGACTCCTCTAACGATGCGGATCGTTATTCGAAAGACTCACTTGATACGCCTCCTTGCAGATACGACAAACCACCTCGCTATGAATGCACTATGATGTTTCCACCGCTGCGCCCATGCAATTCAGTTTAGCAGGTTACCAACCCCGTTATGTTACTGGTGGGGACGCTAGAGACTACGTGTATTTTCTTTTCTTGTGTCGCTACCAATACATGGACTGAGTGTGAGTTTTTCGATACATAAAAATGTTTCTACTAATTGGTTTCATCTGACCACATGACATTTTCGTATGATCTGCAACTATTAAGTGTGGCAATACAACCATCAGCTCTGATATCCAATATATAGGAAATGAGGATGAGAGCGGCAATCATATAACAAAATTCAGACGGGCCTGGACATGCAGTCTGGCTTCAGCAAGCGAAAACTACTGTCGTCGGGCATAGATGTGGAAAGAGGAGCGAGAGTGATTTATGTACTTTGCGTGTGAGCCAGTTGTTAAGTATTGCCAATGCATGCATTGTTGCCTCGATGCGTAAGTACCCATTTGTTAACTGCCTATATAGCGCCACGCAGCCAGTTTCCATAACATTTGGTACGTGTGCGGGTTGATCACTATTCATGTGTCACCTTAAGGTAGATCGTGCTCAGTAGGATTGCTCGGGGCAACTGACATATATGCATTCGCCATTCATACTACACAACGAGAGTTCATATCACTTAAATATAATTTCTACAATAGATACTCAGAGACCATTCTGTGTATCCGTGGAAACCATTGCTTTCTGCTACTTCGGATACATCTATGTAGTTAGTAAGATCGTTGCGTGCTGTGTGTAGTTTTCTGAGCCGAGAATGATAAGATGAATGTCGTAGGCCACTAATATCGGATGCTTCACGTCCTTTTCCATGAGTTGGAACCTTGCTTGATGCACTTGGAGAGTTTGGTCTGATGAGAGCATGCGCACAGGGTCAGGGACGAGTGAATAGTTTGTCTATTGTATTCACTCATACATGACCATATGGATCGTGGCATAATGATAGCCTATTGTAGAGTATCACTCAGTGCACGAGTCATCGCTGGACTGTCGGCTATCACAATATTTAGGTCCTGAACTGGTTGTGCATTACAGTACTTAACATCTTTTTAGGTGTCACTGGCCAGTGGGGAGTTGGAGGCTGATGCATTATGTAATTAAGTGGAACTGTGGGGCTAAATCGAGATTATGCAGCATGGCTTGTCTCGCGATTAGGTGTACCTATCTCACATATTCATTCCTCATGACTCGTCACTACAGAGTTTCAAGACTGGGTGCATTTCATACACGGTAACCACAGCACAGAGTTGGGGACAAGAAAAGCTTTCTTAAAACGAAGAGAGCATTACACTATAGAGTCTGTGAGAGCAGACAATTACTATCTCCCTCTCGATTCTCGCACGGCGAACCAAAATAGTGGGTCCTTAACTAGAACAATATTCCTACCGACGTGTTAGTTCTTGTGTACACGTAACAGAAGTCATGCTCTCTTGTGACAACTATATCTACCACTCTTTCAGTCATATAGGGGATGTCATTGAGTGCTGTGATTCTCTTTCTCTTCTGTCGCAGCGCACATTCATAGTACTCACAGTATCTGAATGGGAACAATTGCCATTGGTAGCAAGAATGAATTGGAGTCGAGACTTTCTTTGTCATCCTCTCCTTCATAACACATGTGAGGGGAACTTGGCATGCATCAATCGAGGGTTTGGCCGACGTACATTATAAAAGACTTTAGGTGTTGACGCCGCGGAACTGGATGATTTCTGTGGCATGTTGTCTATCATTATAACAGATG